ATTTCAAGGTTATGTCCTTCAGCGTGCGGTTGACATGCGAACAGGGTTTGCTGCTGACATCAGAGTCTTGTTTTTACTTTACACCGACGGAGACAAAAGCACCTGCAGCAACACCCAACTGAAACCAACGTGAGATAAACACAGATCAGTCAATGCAGTCTATTGTGGAGACGCAGCGACCGGAGATGAAAAACTGCAGCTCGACCGGTTCCATTTGTGTTGTCAGTGATAATGAATGTCATCCCCAAGGCATGTCGAGGGATTAAGTTGTTGAGCAGGTGTAATTTCACAGCGACGGTGAAGACTGGGTGCTTTGTGTAAACACAGAGAGGTACAGCTTGGATAATCAGCTGTTCATCTGATACGCTGAGTGTTTGCTGTGTGTAAGGAGACAATAGAACAAGACGACTCTATGCTTCAGTTTACAGAGCGTCCAGGTGTACGTATACACACCTGTGATAACCAATAAGTCAGCTGTATCTGTTGCAATTGCTAGATATCGACCAACTTATTGGAATAGTTTGGGGAGATATGTATAGGAGGCTATGTTTTACTGTCCGTTGGGATGTTTGTGCATTTATCACCAAGGTTTCCAAATGAATACCTGCCCTCATGAAACTTGGCAAAATGGTGTCGAATTATCTAAAGAAAGGAACCATAACATTTTGAAGGGGCATATTTGTTCACTTATTGCCCTGGAGGTCTGAACTGCCCATTAACATGTCTAGTTTGTATGTCCTCTTTGCACGTCAAATAATAAGTATATTCAATTGTTGTGGGGTCTTTGATATAAAGGTTTTTAAAGAAAGCATAATGAATCTGGAGCCCTGGAATATGCACATGGCTATTAACACTTAATTGTGAAGAAAACAGTTGAATAATATTGCTGTTGCTTAAGGTCCCTTTAACGTTTGAATCAAAAATCCATTTATCCGGTAAGATGACGTAAAAGTACCAAAAAATCTCAAATCTTGTGAAGTATTTTTCTATTTTCTATCTTTATAAATACGTACGCGTGTCCTGGAGTTTCGCCCGGCGTCCCCGTTGACTCCGTAGTGGAGCTGAGGGCTGGCCTGCAGACGGAGGTCCATGATTCGGGGGTCAGAGGTTGCACATCTGGACTCGCTCTGAAGAATCATCAAATCCTCTTTTCAACGAGAGTCTGGAGACACAGAGAGAGAAGAGACGTCAAAAAACTGACCGCAGAAGAAGAACAAATTAGATCCTTAACTGTTGTGTCTCTACTTTAAAGAGTCCTCTCCTGCTGATGTTCATATCAGTATGTAGTGTCTCTACTTTAAAGAGTCCTCTCCTGCTGATGTTCAGGTGTATATCAGTATGTAGTGTCTCTTCTTTAAAGAGTCCTCTCCTGCTGATGTTCAGGTGTATATCAGTATGTAGTGTCTCTACTTTAAAGAGTCCTCTCCTGCTGATGTTCAGGTGTATATCAGTATGTAGTATCTCTACTTTAAAGAGTCCTCTCCTGCTGATGTTCAGGTGTATATCAGAATGTAGTGTATCTACTTTAAAGAGTCCTCTCCTGCTGATGTTCAGGTGCATATCAGTATGTAGTGTCTCTACTTTAAAGAGTCCTCTCCTGCTGATGTTCAGGTGCATATCAGTATGTAGTGTCTCTACTTTAAAGAGTCCTCTCCTGCTGATGTTCAGGTGTATATCAGTATGTAGTGTCTCTACTTTAAAGAGTCCTCTCCTGCTGATGTTCAGGTGTATATCAGTGTGTAGTGTCTCTACTTTAAAGAGTCCTCTCCTGCTGATGTTCAGGTGTATATCAGTGTGTAGTGTCTCTACTTTAAAGAGTCCTCTCCTGCTGATGTTCAGGTGTATATCAGTATGTAGTGTCTCTACTTTAAAGAGTCCTCTCCTGCTGATGTTCAGGTGTATATCAGTGTGTAGTGTCTCTACTTTAAAGAGTCCTCTCCTGCTGATGTTCAGGTGTATATCAGTGTGTAGTGTCTCTACTTTAAAGAGTCCTCTCCTGCTGATGTTCAGGTGTATGTCAGTATGTAGTGTCTCTACTTTAAAGAGTCCTCTCCTGCTGATGTTCAGGTGTATATCAGTATGTAGTGTCTCTACTGGGACATGTCTCCATGCTTTAATGTTCAAAAAGCTCTTTATTTTTCTCATACTGTCTACGAAGCTTTCGTAACACGTAATGATTTTTATGACTGTCGGAAAATTAGAAAACAGTGAAGATAGTTTCAGTTTTCACGGTTTCTGGCTTTGATAAATGCTGTTGAAATACAAGAACCAAATGTACCAAATAATACAAAGTTAAAACATTCATTACGGTGAATTACCCCTCTGAGTTTGACTATATTGAAGAAGTTGTAAGTATTAATATTTAAGTCATCGTTGACACTTAGTGAGTTGATCCTATTCGAAATGTTTCTTATAAGGATAATGCATCATTTCTTATAAAATAACCTATGGATTTTTCTTAAAGAGGACATATAATATTAATTTCCCCCTCTTTTCACCCTCTGTCTGAAACCAGAGCTGCTCTGATTGGTTAGCTGGCCGGCTCTGTTGTGATTGGTCAACCGGCTTAGAGATGTCCCGCCCCTTAGCCTATCACGTACAATGTGTTGGAGCGGAAATATTCACGCTCAAATGCCTGAGCATGAGTAAGCTTTAGGGCCAGGTGAGCTCCACCTGACCGACCAGTTCTCCTGGAACCGGAAGCTGACAGACTGGCTCCTCAAGCCGAAACCTACGGAGCTTTTTTAGCCAACACATTCCTCTGATAAAAATAAAACCCCAGAAGAGAAGTATAATACAAAAAGCTTCCTTGTTGAGGTTTGAGGGGAAATATTTGACTAGATAAACAAGAACTCCTTCTCGTGGTCAAACAAGGATGGGAAGGTGTGGGTGTTCGCTCCTCAGGATGTGTGTTTAGTTAAACAATTAAAAAAAGAATTAAAACACATGCTCATGGTACTTTTTATTAATTTGTTCTTATTATTATTATTATTATTATTTCTATGTATGTCTGCTGGGGCCATTATTTTTACTCCAAAATGTATTGAATATATGTTACATTAAATTAAAGGGATTTTTCCATCCAGTTTTTATGTTGTTGTGTTTATATTATATAGTAAAATAATGTTAATATTAGTATTTAAAATTGGCAATGAGGAACTTTTATTATTATGTATTTATTTACCAAAACTAATATCAGATAATAATATGATCTTATTGTTTTGGTTGTGTCAAATTTAAGTGATTTCATACACAATATATAGTTATTTTGACCCAATTCTATTTGTTTTTTTAGACATAGGTCCAATATATATAGACATATATTGATATTGATTGTATTTGCAGTGTTCATAAGGATATATATAACACACATACTAATTATAACATAATAATCTATGTATATAAGACTTTTCAAAACAAAGCAAGCATAAACAAAAAGTACAATAACTTATTTCACAAATAAAATTCAAATAAATAAAGTTAGTAAAATGTTGCATAATAATGATTTTAAGAATGATTTAACATTTTAAAATAACATTTTAGTTCAGCGTTATTTGAAGAATCTGCAGGAATACCATATATGTAAGAATGGTGACTTTCCATGAGTTATTTAAGTAAATATAATCCCCATAAGCCGGTTTACACGTGGAGAAAATGCGAGTAAAATTAGAAGTATTTTTACATAATGACTTACCCAACAACTCCACAGCTCGGTCATCATAAAACCAACAAACAGAGAAGTAGTTTTTCCTTCAGAGACACAGCTGCTTCCAACTCTCCTGTAAAATAAATCGTCTTTAAGGTCCAGTTCGCGCTTGGAGAGCTCCGTGCGTAATAACTCCACTTTGGCACATTACGCAGCACTTTAAAGCACCACGAAGCCCCGCCCACAGTCGTCAGGAGGGTGTGTGTGTGTGTGCGTGTGTGTGTGTGTGTGTGTGTGTGTGTGTGTGTGTGTGTGTGTGTGTGTGTGTGTGTGTGTGTGTGTGTGTGTGTGTGTGTGTGTGTGTTTTCATTCAGGTGTGGTGGTGACTGACACACTGGAAAGTTATCCAACCCAACTCATACACACCTCAGTTTCACTATGATGTGTTCAGGGTCAGTGGGAAGTTTATGCAAGGTCATTTTTACTTTTACTCTACTACATTTAAGTGGAAGTCTTTTTTTTACTTCAGTACATTTATAAGCTGCTTTACATATTCATATTATGAATACAGTATGTATTCTGATGTCTAATGGGTTAAGTAAGTAACCTCGAAACAGGCCATTTTGCATTATAAGTGTCCTTTTGGTACATTAAGTGTTTTTTAATGCTAAGTATTTTGTAATGTACTTAAGTAACAATTTAACACTCTCGTATTGGTACTTTTATATAAGATAAATACTTTTAGTCAGGCATTATCCTTTTATTTTCTACTTCAGTACAGGATCAGAATACTTACTACACTTACTCCAAACTCAAGAACTGATTATATTTATTGGTTGACAAATTATCTCAAGTTAAATAAAAAACAAACACTATTTGATCAAATGTGACGTTATCTTAAGATAGGGAGATATATGGCACAGTCAGTATCCAATAAAATACATAAATTACATTTGTACATACATTTAGCAAACGTGCAGGACAAAGTGCAGCTATTTAAGGAGAAAAAAAACACCCAAAAAAGGTATTTAATGACTTAAAATAACATTAAGACGAAGGAAATAGATGACTGCAGACTTGTGATTTGTTTGTTTTGAGCGCCACCTGCTGGCTGCACCCTGCTAGCTCAGTTCTTCACTGTGCACAGGCTTTTGTGAATAATACAGGCTTTTTTAATGTTGAAATGTTGTCTTTTTATTATCTATTTTAATGTTTTACTTATTGTTATATTTTTCACACTGGGTTTTGCAGTATTTTGACCATAGACTGCATATATAAAGATTTTGACACGCAACCGTCAAGCATAACAATCAGGTGATGCTGCTCCTCTGGTTTCCCAGTTGTCCCTGAACGCCCCTCCCGTCTCCGGTCTGCGTCACTAACAGCTCCTCCGGTGTTTCTGTCCGTTTGTTTGTTTCTGCACGTTAACCGGGAGAAAGACCCCCAGAACCGGCAGCTGTCCACACACACAGAGGTCCGGTGAGTCCGCAGCTAACGTGTTATTAACGTACATGTTGTTATTATGATTATAAGCTAAGTTAGGGCAACTTACGTAGCCTGCTAGCTAGCTTAGCTACATCTAAATGCACCATATGCGCCTACTGTCGGACACTGAGCCGTTTGTCGCACTATTCATCCCTTTTTCTCACAACCAAGGTAACAGACACACTGATTATGAGTGCTTTATCATCATTTATGTTTTTTATTTTAAAAGCATTAATGATACAGCCCTGTGATCGAGTCATATTAGATGATTTAGCTAGCCGTGGTGTAGGTTTGTGCAGTGACCGATAATGGAATCCCCCGGAAGTGAGCCTGCTGTTGAAGCCCATATGTGTAATGCCCGTAGTGGCCAAACAGTGGTACTACAACGCAAGTGACGTCATTTTGGCCCAAAGATACGTTTCCCCATTGACTTACATTGGGGAAAGAGACGTCTGTAAAAATAATTATTTTGAAGCTAAATAAACTTGTAATAATGAATACATTTGTAAATTAATATACTGTTTTATTGTCGTATCATATTTTGTATTTTCTAGCTTTATTTAATTCTTTACATTGACATTTAAAGAGTTATTTTCTCACTATTCATTTGAAACTCAACTGCGCATGCTCAGTGGGCCCACATACGGGTACTTTTGCTCTTCATGCGCCAATGAGCAGCTCTCGTAGGAATGAACTGCAAATAACGGCTATTTTTCAAATCAAATGTAACCGTTGTAGCCGTTTTTTCTGTTTTCAGTTGGTTTATTTCACTCTTTCTGATATAAATCTCACATCTTAAAGAAACATTATAATTATACATCCATTTATCATTAATCCACAACAAATAACGGTTATATTTCAACATTTAGAAATTGAAGAAATGCGTTGTTTTGTAGCCGTTTCTATCTATTTAAAGTTGGTTTATTCCTCTCTTTCCAATATGCACCTTGCACTTAATATCAATGCTAAAATCTCGCCTTTGAATAAGCCTGTTAACATCAGCTAACATAATGCAATTGCTCCGTTAGCATTAGCTTGTTATTAGCACTGAAACATAAGCTGACACACAGCTAAGATGTTGTCTTCATGCATCTTTAATGTGTGCAGAGTCAGATAACAGCCGTGAGTTTTTAAACGTTAGCCCCCCTGTTCAGTTAGTGTTAGCATGTTAGCTCAACTGCTAACGGTTCACAAAAGCTAACCATTGTGAGCTAACCTAATGCTAGCTGTCACTGCACCCTGAAACAGGTGCTTTGAACGTAGACTGTTTTATAAACGTGAAGCTGTATACGCAATACGATTCAAGGTTACATTTCAGCTTCTTAGCACACAGATAACACTATTATTATATTAGTAATACAACATTATTTGTACAGGGTGTATCAAGTATATTACAGTATAGTGAACAACCGAAATAGACAAATATAAACAAATAAAAACACTTTGCTGTAAAACAAAGCAATCAAATCAATTAAAAACAAAAGATGCAGTAAAGAGCACCAACAAGTTTGCAGAAAAACCTCATAAAATATGTAAAATAAACGAATAAATAAATGCAGTAGAACATAAAGGAAGTGTGACAATTAGGAAAATGCTATGCTTAATACAAATGCAAATTGTTCAATTGAGGTTTTAAAATGTTAACAGAACTTGTTTTCTTATAGCCTTGTGTAGAAAATGTCCTAAGTTTTGGTGCGTAGTTATATAGAATATAATTGGAGGGATGAAACCCCTCTTTAATGGTCACACATGCAGAACACACGGTGACATGTGTCCTCTGCTTTTAACCCATCCTAGTACCAGGAGTCTAGTACTAGGAGCACTGGCAGCTATTGTACAGCGCCCGGGGAGTGGGGGGGGGGGTGAGGGGGTTGTCCGGTGCCTTGCTCAAGGGCACCACAGCAGGGCAGGAGGTGAACTGGGACCTCTCCAAGTAGCAGTCCACACTCCATATTTAAGTCTGTTCGGGGACTTGAACCGGCGACCCTACGGCTCACAGTCAAAGCCCCTACTGACTGAGCCACTGCCGGACTGACTGAGCCACTGCTATATTTTTGTTCAATAGGTATTGTAATGTCATATACACCAGGATCATTGTATCGTTGTAACCAGCATTGTCCCTGCTAGAAATTGAACTGGAAACCATGTGAATGGAGTCAGTGAACAGAGAGGCTGTTGTCAGTTTAAACTGAGTTACTGCTTGTTGCAGACGCTGCAGCAATTATGCAAATGTTTGTGTCAGGTTTCAACAGAAAATAAATAAATAATACCAGTATCTGTAATACTCTTACACATGATGGAACATATACTCATAGAGCTAGGTCATTTCAAATACTGTCATATCACAAAATGGTGGGTTCAGAAATTCCTTGCTTAACATTTCTTCTTTTGCTATTTAAAAAACTACTGCACTACTGTCAGGTTTTCTGTGTGCAGCAGCGTTGTTCACCCCTGTGTTGCACAATGACAATAAATGATCTTTGAATCCTTGATCATAAAATCATAAAAATCCTTCTGATGTTCACATATGCAGGAAGTGCTCTGATATTTTTCTTGAGTTAAAGAAGCAGCTCACTGCGCCACTCCGCCCATCCTCACACCTCTAAGTCATCAAGGCGCTTTACAAGTACACATTACACACATATCATACATGTAACGGTCATGTACTGTGTACAGTACCCACAGGAGCAAATGCGGGTGAAGTGTCTTGCCCAAGGACACAACGGCCTGACTCATGGCTCATGTATTAATTAATTTAATGTTGCAGCTCAACTATCAATGATTACACTTTTAATAACACTCCCTACAGGCCAAGCTTCCAACATGATGCATGTGTTTTGGTACTTGTGCAAGAGCAGCACCCAGATTGAAAACCCCTTTTTCTTCTCTTAATTTCCCATATAATGTTCACTCAATTTAAAACAAGCATGCTGAATATGATAACTAAAGAGCTGCAGTGTAGCAGCTCAGTATGCGTCAATGTTGACAACACAGACTTACAAGTAAATGCCTTAATTTGACAAATTTACGATCAAATATTGTTGTAATTTCATTGTAATGTCCACTGCTGATTAACATGTCAGTTCAGATGTTTGGGTAAATGTTGTCAGTGTTTTGGATGACGTGAGGCTGAGTTTTAAAGTCCTTACTGGAGTAACTGGATCTTTACCCAGCATCCCTCAGTGTCCGGTTACCACGGGCTCTTCAGGACTCGTATCCATGGAGACAAGAAGGGGAGATGGGGGAGAGGGGGGATTGGTTGTTTAGGTGGGCGGGGTTTCACCTGAGTTGACGGACAGGTGTGATGCTTTCACCTGTCCGACCGACTTACCTTCCTTACCTGTGTGCATTTTTTTTCTTCAGGTATATTGCTCGATGCATTGTATATTAATTTAGTATTTTTGTTTTGTTTTTTGTCCCTGTTTAATAAAACCTTTTGCAAGCTATTTTTAAATCCTTGACTTAGTACATCAAAAAGGTTGCTGTTCAGCTCTAAACTCACAAAGTCTCAGATGTCAGATTGTCCTTGAATGCACCAGCAGTCCAGTGCTGTCACCTGCATTTTCCAAACAAACAACAAGAATGAAACTCGGACCAAAACAATAACACGACTAAATGTAAATTAAATTGTGATGTATTACTCATTAGAAGTCTTAGGATTGTTTGCAGACTGGTCAGGGTAGAAGGCGTGACTCTGACATAATGATACTAAAACAAAACACAAGACGTGTTCTTCAGCTGGATCTTTAAATAACCTCAGGGAACAAGTGACGTGTGTGTGTGTGTGTGTGTGTGTGTGTGTGTGTGTGTGTGTGTGTGTGTGTTGTGTGTGTGTGTGTGTGTGTGGTGTGTGTGTGTGTGTGTGTGTGTGTGTGTGTGTGTGTGTGTGTGTGTGTGTGTGTGTGTGTGTGTGATGTGTGTGTGTGTGTGTGTGTGTGGTGTGTGTGTGTGTGTGTGTGTGTGTGTGTGTGTGTGTGTGTGTGTGTGTGTGTGTGTGTGTGTGTGTGTGTGTGTGTGTGTGTGTGTGTGTGTGTGTGTGTGTGTGTGTGTGTGTGTGTGTGTGTGTGTGTCACACACACCAGGATGAGCTGGTGGGACCGGTGTACTTTAAAAACAACCGAAACAGGAGAGACAAAAGAGATTATTTTAAGAATGTGAGTTTAATAACAATAGTGAAGAATCTCTGGAATGAAGAATAGTCTTGACGCTTTGTGGAGGAATGTTCCGTCGCTCCCTCTCTGTCTCTCTTCCTGCTGGAGTTTGACCCAGAGAGTAAAGTCCAGTCTGCCTTACAGTAAAACACTTTATTGGAAGTTAAGGAAGAGGAAGAGGAAGGGTCGTTTCAAAACAAACTCACCAACATCTTCATGTTGTGTGTTCTCTTGAAAACGAATCCTATAGCTCTACTCCGAATACCTTTTATATAACCTAAGTTATGACGAAGTTTGCATATTCTAAGCTTCACCAGTGCTTGTTTTTCACTTTATTGGTTTGCAATTGGTCCTGAAGGATAATTTGTACTCATGTAAATACTAGTTACAGGGTTCTTACGGTCATTAAAAACCTGGAAAAGTCATGGAAATTCAAAAAGCAAATTCCAGGCCCTGGAAAAGTTATGGAAAACAATATTTTTCCCAAAGTTTTGGAAAAGTCATGGAAATGTAACTAAAGTTGCATCAAATATAATTTATATTTTATCTAATCGCCAAAATAGTAATACTATAATGATAATAAATACTGTATCGTATAGTAATGAAACGTAAAATGGCATTTAACGGTCGAGGTATTTTGCTGGTGAGAGATTTTAGTTGCTTTAGCGTGTAGAAGCTAGTAAGCCTATTTGATTTGTTTTAGATAGGCACAACATGTTTCATATGCAGACCTTATTTCCTGTTCCATGTTAAAATAAACCATTTCTTTGGTCATGGAAAATTAGGTAAAGGTCATGGAAAAGTCATTGAAAATCATTTGTGAAAAAGTGTATGAACCCTGTAGTTAATAAAAGTCAATATTTTCTACACGAACAGAGTCTTTTATTTAGAAAAGTTCCTATCTCCAATAGTTTTCACTCTCTTGACCTTCTGATTGTGTGTAGTATTGATAAAGCTCTATTTCATTAACAACTAAATATGAACAAATTATTTAGTTTTTGTCCTAATGTTTGTAAAAATATATTCTCCTCTCTCTCTCTCTCTCTCTCTCTCTCTCTCTCTCTCTCTCTCTCTCTCTCTCTCTCTCTCTCTCTCTCTCTCTCTCTCTCTCTCTCTCTCTCTCTCTCTCTCTCTCTCTCTCTCAGGTTGAGGACAGACGTTACCTGACGGGGTTTCTTTTTGCTGAGTCACTGCTTCACCTGAACCCTGCTGTTAGTGTGACTGACTGAGAGCCTCCATCCATCCTTCAATCCACCACTGCTGCTGCACTATGGTACCACACACACACATACATACACACACACACACACACCACACACACACACACACACACACACACACACACACACATACACATACAAATACACATACACATACACACACACACATATATATTTCAGCCTTGTGTGTGCATTTATAAATTAGAATACATGAAATAAACAGTTTGCTGCCTCACTAAAATCTGTGTGTGTGTGTGCAGAGTGTATGATGTCTGACAGCAGCTGCTATGGCCTGCAGCGGTCCGGGCAAAGCTGAGACTCTGGAGGGTTTCCACGAGGTGAACCTCGCCTCCCCCACCACACCTGACCTCCAGGTAAATGACCTCCATCACATGATGCAGGGAGCGGCTTCCTGCTGATTTTCAGGATGTTTACAGACTTATTGTCACGGATATTTGTCTTTATTGTGAACAGTTGTTACTGGATGCTTAACATTAAAGGTGGGGTAGGTAAGTTTGAGAAACCGGCTCGAGATCGCTAGAATTTCAAAATACACAACCGGAGAAAATCTGCCACTTCCTCACAGAGCCCCTCCTCCAACACACACGAACGCGCACATGACCAATGGGGGCACGAGATAAGTTTGTGCCCAGATGGAAGGCTGACAGGCAGGTAGGCCATCCAGTTATTTTAGCCGGGCCGGCTCAGATGATTGGTCGTGCTTTTTACAGTACTACAGCTTCCACAGATGACATGTTTTAATGGATTTTTTGTCAAAGCACTTCAGATATTCATTGCTATCTGGATGTTAAGAGCATTCCATGGAATATAACAAAAAGTGTGTCTCGAGCCGGTTTCTCAAACTTACCTACCCCACCTTTAATCAAATCAATCAAATATATATTGTTTTCAGTTTGGACTTTTTTGTCTCTTTTGACAACTCTCATCGTCTTTGTTGTTTCCCTGTGTGTCGTCCTGCAGAACCAATCAGAGCAGCGCCCCCCCCAGCCGTCACAGTGCGCCCCCCACCATTCTGTACCGCACACACTCCCTGGGAGCGCCCCCTGCTGGCCGCCCCACCTCCCTGCGGGCCGACCAGCTCCCCACGCAGCCCGTCTACTCCACACCCCACAGCCACAATGGAAGGTGAGGAAACACTCCATACTCTGAGGCGGTCATTTGTGTTTTATGACCGCTGTATTCGTCTGCCTGTATTGATTGGTGTTCATTTGTTGTGACTTTGTTCATGCTGCCCTCTTGGCCAGGTCGCTCTTGAAAAAGAGACTTTGATCTCAATGAGACTTTTACCAGGATATATATGGAGATAGACTTAGATTAAATGTCATTAGTTTAAGAAATGTGTTAGTTTTTACCAAGCAGATATGTGAATATTGTGTAGACGCAGCTTGTCAAATGTGAGGATTGGTTTCTTATCTATATTTAACTTCATATAACTTTATCACCTTTGGCTTTGGGACTTTTTCACAAGTGTTGTAGGACTTAAGGAAAACTATTGCAGGAAAGTAAATCCTCAGCTTCATCGCAAAATAATATTATATTGATTCCTTGGGCTTCATTTCAGGTATTAAAATATTCTGCCGCCATACCATTTTAATTTGATTCATTTCAGCGTCCTGCCATGGATATGAGACGATAACATATATGCCTAAACTCAATTAATTACATTTAGATGAACTCACAAAAAGCAACTTAGATAAGATTTGACAATTTTATTACCAGACATTTATATAAAAATCTACTCTTAAATAAAATAAAACTCAACATTCCCTAGCTTAAGGTAATATATTTATTTTTACAGTTAAGAACTTCAAAATAAAGGCATGTCTTAAAGATTGTAGAGCTATGGGGTGAGTAAAAGAATATTTAGTTGGTTGCAATCTGCAGCCTCGCCACTAGGGGGCGCTGTCCACAATGGAAATAACTGCACAATATTGATCTGAACCTGCAAACAAAATACATATTTTCCAAATACATTTGTAGACAATATGTCCAAAGACTGTCCTTCCACATGAGCTCTTAACCCTAACTGACCGTTGTTGTTGGCATGGTTACCCACAGTGCACCGGGCCAGGAGGCGGAGTCTCTGGACGGCCACTTCCTGTCTGCAGAGGACGGAGAGGATTGCAGCGCTCTGAGCGAGAGTCTGTCGAGGCTGAGGAGCCCGTCAGTGATGGAGGTCCGAGAGAAAGGATACGAGAAGCTGAAGGAGGAGCTGGTGAAGGCCCAGAGGGTAGGATACACACACACACACACACACACACACACACACACACACACACACACACACACACACACACACACACACGAACCACCAACACGTCTGTGTGTGTGTGTTCTCACTTTGGTCCCCCACACTCTACAGCTGAGGCCTTGACGACGGGCACAATATCACGACGAATGTGATATTGAATGTGTGTGTGCAGTTGGAGAGTGTGTGTTTGTGTGTTTTTCAGATCATAATCATATTGCTACACATTTTCATTACTTAAATAGACATCATGTCACACTTTTTATTCCTATTCTTTTATTTAAATGCATTTATTTGTATCTCTTCAGCAGGGCTGTACCAAAGAGTTTGAAGCTTTTTTCTCAACGTTGACATTTAAATTGTAAATCCAAATTTAAATGCGCTGTTTTAATTTGCATGTCTATTTTTTGCGTTGTGTCTGATAAAGAGAAGGCTACAATAAGTATAACTATTGTAATTATATCCAAAAGTCACAAAATCGTATTTATTTTACAGAATATTCAGCTTAAATCCATATTGATTGTATTTAGCCTGTAAGTGGAATGCACTGAGAAGTAACATTAATTGAATGAAGTGGATTTTATATAAAGAAGTTACACTTAATCCAATAAATACAAAATGTTAAAACTGAACATTCAAAACTTTATTTTGAAACCTGAATTAGAACTAAAACAACTTTTAGTAGAGCCATAATCTTCGTTTGTTGTTGCCATGCTATGATTTCATTTTGCTGTGTGTGTGTGTGTGTGGTGTGTGTGTGTGTGTGTGTGTGTGTGTGTGTGTGTGTGTGGTGTGTGTGTGTGTGTGTGTGTGTGTAGTGTGTGTGTGTGTGTGTGTGTGGTGTTGTGGTGTGTGTGTGGTGTGTGTGTGTGTGTGTGTGTGTGGTGTGTGTGTGTGTGTGTGTGTGTGTGTGGTGTGTGTGTGTGTGGTGTGTGTGTGTGTGTGTGTGTGTGTGTGTGTGTGGTGTGTGTGTGTGTGTGTGTGTGGTGTGTGTGTGTGTGGTGTGTGTGTGTGTGTGTGTGTGTGTGGTGTGTGTGTGTGTGTGTGAAGGATCTGCTGTTGAAGGATGAGGAGTGTGAGAGGTTGTCTAAAGTCAGAGATCTGCTGGGCCAGGAGCTGGAGGAGCTCACCGCCAGCCTCTTCCAGGTCTGTCTCCTCATCTCCTCCCCTTCCTTCGTCTCCTCTGCTTCCTGTTTCCTTCCTCCTGATGCAGACAGAAACTACTCCTTGGCAGCAGAGATGAGAAACAGGCGTTGGGAAGATGTTTTTTGCAATTTTTTAATATTTATTATAAGAGTTTGCTTTTAGGTCTAACCGGACTATCCCATGACTAGAAATTCAATTGTTTAAAAGATATTACCTTGGAGGTTTACTGGTCATTTCTCTAAGTTTGATTTCATTTAAAGAAAATAGCGACCCCATAGATCAGTGTTTCTCAAACGTTTTCATACCAAGGACCACTTAACCAATAAAAAAACACTCGCGGACCACCTAACTCCACAAATATCCAAAAACACATTGTTTTTCTAGAACAGATTACAAATCGCCTGAAAATGGTACAAACAAGTGGCAACATGTGTGACGAAGGTGCTGCGCTGGGCTATATCATGCAATCGAAATTGAAACTTAAGCTCGCTCCATTGCGGAGATATTCCCGCGAGAGTGCGGAAAACTTAAATGTATTTATTTATTTCAAATGTGAAATATTACCAATATACTCACGGACCACTAGGGGGCGGACCACACTTTGAGAAGCACTGCCATCGAGGATCAGATTTTCCTCCAGCTCCAACTGACCTTTTAAAGATGATTATTCCTTTCTCTCCTGTTCAATGTTTGAGGGAATCTCTCCTTCTGGTCTTCACCACTCTCTCCTTCCTCCTCTTCCTCGTTCTTTGGACTTTCCCTCATTGAAGGAGCTGGGACTCTTGTCTCTCTCTCTGTGTGTGTTTTCTGTCCCCTGCTAACATGATTGAAGTTTCATTTTCTGTTACTATTATGTTTATTGTGAGCAAGGAAAATATAAAAATAAATGAAATTGTTTGTGTTCAACAGGAAGCCCACAAAATGGTCCGAGAGGCAAACGTCAAGCAGGCAAACGCTGAGAAACAACTGAAGGAAGCTCTGGGGAAGGTGACCACACACTTATTGAGATAAAGCTTTATTATCAAACGTCTCAGAATCACTGCAAGGCATCGAGCAAAATGTCGTGCCAACGTAGAGAATAAAAAAGACATGATCTTAAACCAAGTTTTCATACATCAACACAGGCTCACTATTTGGCAAGAGGACTAAGCCTTATATTGGCTACTTAGCGAGAATCAACTCAGTGAGCAACAGATACCAAGGATGCTGGCTGATGAAGGAGACGAAGTAAGCTAGGTAGCCAATATAAGGCTTAGCAGTACAGATACATGTGGGCTCACTATTTGGCAAGCAACCGGTCACAGGTGCCCTGTTTATCTCATGTCTTATAAAAGCTTATTAATGATTTATAAAGTGTTCACAACCTAATTAATAAATGAATTACAAACTATTCATAAACCCTTGATAAGGGTAGTCTTATTGTAAAGTGGGACCAAAGATAGTCTATAACTCTTTGGCCAATATCATTTTTTTTCCATTTAATAGGCGCTTTCACACCAAGTACTTTGTCGTACTTAGTTCATCAGAACTCTTTAGTTCTGATGAACTAAGTACAGATCGCGTTCACACCGGAATAAGTCCCTGAGGGAGGATTAGGCAAATGAAGCCGCTGACGTCACTTCTTCTTCTTCTGCTTTGGGTTTACTGGCAGGCCGCAAACAACTTCACGGCGTATACTGCCACCCGGAGTCCCCGGCCGGAAGTCCCCGGAGTTGGGGACTGGCTTCAGTAGAAGCTGCTGGGACTCCCAGCAGCTTCTACTGAAGCTTTCCGAGTAAATCGCCAGAACGCCGACACCTCCTCATCTCCACCGCTCCCATGTTTTCTTTTGTGTTGCCATAAGTTATTCTCTCTCCGTTGGTGCGCTGGGCTAATGCTAATAATGCTAATGTGAGCAAATAAAATGGTGGCTTCACAAAACTCTTTCAGAGTTTTACTGGGCGTGGTTTGCAATTCCCCCAGCCAATCAGAAATGGGAACCTTTTTCTCCCACGAAAGTACCTGCTCTCTAGGAGGGACTGAAAAGGGGGTGGAAAGGTTCTCATTAACTAAGTTCTAGTTCCGGAACTTTTTGGTGTGAACGCAAATGTTCGGAACTATACTGGGAAAAGTACTCCGGTGTGAAAGCGCCTAATGTCTTTTTAATGTAATTCAATGTGCATTCTTCGTGAAATTAGTTCATAATAACAGAAATAAATGACTACTTTTACTAGATTATCATGATCATTCCCCCCTCCCCCTCCCCCTCCCTCCTCAGATCGACGTCCTGCAGGCGGAGGTGCAGGCGCTGAAGACTCTGGTCCTCTCCTCCCCCACCTCCCCCCTGGGGGAGCTCCCCTCTGTGGGGGGGGGATCCAAGACCCCCTTCAGGAAGGGCCACAGCAGGAACAAGAGCACCTCCTCCGCCATCATGGGGACGCAGCCCGACCCCTCGGCCACGCAGCCAATCGTACGCGAGTGCAGAGAGGTGGGAGGAGCTTAGTTAACCCCAGAGAGAGTTTATGTTCTCTAATGATGTCATGATTACATTAGGGTTCAAAGATTCAAAGGTTTTATTGTCACATGCTCATAAGCTACAGGGTAGACATGGCAATGACATCCTTCTGACCTGAGCTCCTCCAACAACGCAACATATATAATAAAATACAAAATAACAAAATAAAAGTAGTGCAAAAAGTCTATAAACATGTCAATAGAATATGAAATGTACAAGAACAGAATATGAAATAATGTAAATTAAGAACAAATTAAATACGGTTTATATTAATGCACACATCTGTTTTCTTTTTTATTACTGCCGAATTTTATTCCATATTTTATTCAATTCTATTTCTATGTAAATACTGCTATATTTCACTATATTTGTTATTATTTTGAATATTCTTTTATGTTATTATAGTTTTCTTAAAATAGTTCTCTATCTGTGTTTTACCTTTATGTACGCGCCACGACATCAAGTCAAATTCCTCGTACGTGTCAACCTACCTGGTGATAAACCTGTTTCTGATTCTGATGATAACCTGTGTTGTTGTTGTTGTTGTGCAGGTGGACAGTCAGCTGTTCAGCGACTTCAAGGCGTGGAGGGAGGAGCCGACGCTGGAGCGCAGCTGCTGCTTCCTGGAGAGAGTTTACCGAGAGGACATCTACCCCTGCCTCACCTTCAGCAAGTGTGAGGTACAGAGACAGACATCATGAGCGCAACATATCCTCCAACATTTATGATGATCAGAATAATTGTTGCTGAGTTATGAGCATTGATTTCTAAGCCCCGCCTTTCAGCAAAGACATTTTGATGAATGGTGGCCATGTTTGTAGACTGTCATTTCTTATGAACACGTGTATAACCCTCACAGGATGCTGTTTCCTAGATTTGAACTTGAAAGAGTCAAAAGTGAAATATTTAAAAATGTTTACTGTTTTATTTTTTACATCAGATTCAAATCAATGTAAGTGGGTGGGTCTTAGTGGGTATTGAACCCTTAACGAGTGGGCAAGGTCCTCCTTAGGAACAAATCTGAATCATTTGTCGACTTATCATTATGTTTGATTTTATTGACTTATCCTTAACCCTCCTGTTGTGACCCATTTACTACTTTCATCAATCATAACTTTTTAGTTTTACATTCGATTGCATTAAGGCTTTATGATATCCTTCACAGTAGACCTTTGAACATATCAAATGGCTGATCACCACTTTCATTGAGTTTTGGATGATTTAGTCAACTTTGTAACACCCATGGTGTTCAAGGTCAGATAAAACACACACACACACACACACACACACACACACACACACACACACACACACACACACACACACACACACACACACACACACACACACACACACACACACACAACAATTTGACACATTTCCCGCTCTTATGTGCCCATCCCCCCACATGGATCACACCTGGCACACGCACTACATGTTCAGTGTCTGTTCTTTGTATAGACACTGAACAGCCTTGGGTCCCGTGAAAGGCGCTTTATAAATTCCATTTATTATTATTATTATTTACAGCAGTTGTTCATGTGTACCAGTCGTCTGATACGATATGTACAGTTTGAAAGGGTCTTAAATGAAATTTGGTGATTAATGTTTTTTGTGTTAATGTAATAGCAGTTAAAACAGGACCGGTCAAATTTGACTGTGAACACCAAAGTAAGGGGGAAACGAAGACAATAGGAGGGTTAAAGCTTTCTTTTCATAAAGTACGAGAACACTACTTATGAAAGTGTCTTGAAATAAGTAATGCAGCAAAAAGCAATAACAAGTAACAGAATGAGCAACGAGGTCTAGATCAGTTTGGTCTTAGTCGACTTAGAGTAGCCGCCCCCAAATAAACCCTAACCCAAAAATAAATATATAGAGATGAAATACTTTCTGTTTTTCTGCATCGTCCTCTCCCTCAGCTGGGGTCGGCCATCTTGGAGGCGGTGGAGCAGAACACCCTCAGCGTCGAGCCGGTCGGGTTCCAGACGCTGCCCGTCGTCAAGGCCTCAGCTGTAGAGTGTGGGGGACCAAAGTGAGAACACACACACACACACACACACACACACACACACACACACACA